GCAATTTCTATCAAGGAAGCCAATGCTGCCATAGGTTCTGTAGATTCAGCCTATAATGGCATCTTATTGAAAGGATACTACATTCCTAAAAGATCAAGCTCTCTAATAACAACTGATTTTTATTTAAGGTAATGACTAATAAGGTATTCCGCATTAAAATTTCTGATGTGAAGATTGGATAATTAATATAAAAAGCTAGTTCATAAAAGCTATTAGAAAGCTTGGAGTAATTGAATATTGGAAAGCCATGGGGATTTAATTAAGATCACCATCCAGACAATTAATGGATGGTGAATGTTTTATTCACATTAAACCCAAACCATAAACTGTTTAGAGATTCTGTTCATGAATGCTAATCTATATTAACTTAAGAAGCTTGAAGTAATTGTTTTTGTATTATTAATATAGAATGATATAATCTTTGAATACATCCAGCGAACGAACGACAGTCACAAGGAAGGTTTTTTAAAAGAACAAAATAATAGACTCTTGAATACAAATTATAAATGAAATAGATAAGAGCCTAAAATAAATAAAATAAACTTAAAAATAAAAAATAAGAGATCATTAAATTGAATCAATAGATTGAAGAACTAGAAGATGCTTCTATTTAAGAAGAGCACTAAACATGAATGTACTACAAGATATTTAATTATTATATTTAATACATATTTTGAAAAGTTATAACTATTTTAATTATAAAGTATGTCTTTAGCTCTCTATTAGTATTGTTGTAAGTAAGAGATCAAATCTTAAATTTACTTGCTTTTAGAATGCTCTTAAAGAATATTAAAACTAACTGGATGATTTCATTATTTTACTGAAAAGGGATAGAAATTATAAGTACCTTTATATTAGCATTTAGTTAATTGAATAAACACCATAATGATATATGACTTTAAAAAATAGTTCATTATCATACACATGAGTTAATTAGCAAAGCAGTTTCAAATAATCATTTAATATTAGAAAGTAATTAAATAAGGAATATTGGATATTATACATTTTAATATTGATTTATAGATTCTCAGTTAGTAGTAGTACGTTAGTTGTAAAAAAAGAAGAAATAATCATCTCAGTTAAAGCAGTGATAACAATTAATTGATAAAATATAAGGAAGATTACAAAAAAAAAAAGAATAGAAAGCATCCTAGATGAATAAATCACATTGAGCTTTATAAATAGAAGAAAGTATAATAAACTTAAATTACTGAAGACTTAAATGATTAAAGTAAAAATAAATAATGCAGAGATGGAAATTAACTGTAAAATTTGACTGATGATAATAAAGTGAACATTATAATTTAGAAAATATAAAATTAAACCAATGAATATATAATCTAAATTTAATTCATGTATAAGAAGCAAAACTAGATAGAGAATTAAATTTGAAAAGCTTCAATATTTATTAATCGCCTATCACATTTTAAATATTTCAATCCACTTGAACAACCTTAAATATTACATCTCAATTTACTTTTTGAGCTCATCATTATATTCTATCAATAAACATTAAGAGATCTAGAATTGAGAATTAATTATTGAAAGTTTACCTTTATTGAAAATTCTTTGTCCTATCCAAAACACTAAAATAGCAGACTTCTCTCCTTATTTTACTGGTATGCTTATCAAATTTGATTTTTTAAACTGATCAGTTATTATTCTCTCTGATCAGCTAGATCTTTTATGGTCCCTGGCATGTATTAAGTTATTGCACTATCAGTTTCCACCGCATTAAAAGAATTTTTAATATTTACTTAAAGGTTTCATCCTAATTATTTAAGAAATATTGCCAATTAAATTAATTGTCAATAAAGTTAATGGAGGTACTCTTTCAGATCAAGTCAGAAATGAAGCATATTAAAACAAATCAAATAATTTAAATTAGTTTTATTTCGTCAATTCATACATTAGCTATTTCAGTTCATTATTGAATTTCTAAAATATGAAATTTATAGGGCTTTGGCTTCAAAATTTTCAGCTGTATTAATGCTATTGCTGGATTATTTTTTTTGGTTACTTCGATTAATTCTGCATAAATAAAATATTTAAGGAAATTGATATATTTATATAATGAATCAAGAACATAATATTAGTAAATTTAATTTAAATCCTTTTAATTTTAGTGTGGATCATTTTATATAATGATTATTGTTCTACTAATCAATTATTTAGAAGCATCATCGATTTTACTTTCTAGTTGTTATTTTCGTTGATAAACAGAACATTTCAAATTTATAGTTTCTTTATTAGTTAAGATAATATATCCTGATTGGTTGAATCAGAATAGTATTTTTAAGGATAATAGTATTAATTTTCATAAATTGCTTATATTAAGGGGTAAGTCAAGAGAGGTCTTATAATTTATAAAGTAGCAGATAGACATTTTGAAAGGAACGTTTAATAGTATTATGTCTTATGGATTTCATATTAATCCTAAATACTAAATATTATTCATCACTTGCTATAGTTTAATTTGTTTTTAAATGATAGCAATATAATTACTTAATTATAAATTCTTAAAAAAAAGGGCATAAATAAATAACGAAAAATAAAACCAATTTGGTATTTGATATTTGAAATGGTGATAAAATATTGCTAAAATCTGTAAATTTGAAGATAAATGGAATATTTGTATCTTAATATTTATATTATAGAATAATAAATTTCAATTTTTGATATGTTGATGTATATTACTCAATAACCATTTGATTCATTTGTAATTATTAATTTTTTCTTACATTTAGCTAGATACGATAGATTCATATAGATATACATTTTACATTTTATATAATTTGCAATTTGGATCAATTTAAAGTGCCTTATCATAATACATAATTGCTTCTTCATATTTTTATGAATATTGTAAGCATTCTCCTAGAGAATTATAAATATAATGAACCTTTTAAGTATAAAGAATAATGTCTAGTTGGATCACAACTCAATGCTTAGTCAGTAATCTTAAGAGCTTCATCATATTCACTTAATCCCTGTAAATTTGATTAATAAAATTTCAGTATAATGATTCCCTATTTTAGAAATTTTGAATCTCATTTCGTTTGTAATGAATAGAAATGTTTCAATCAATTGATAACGCCTTATCAGTCCATATAATTTCATCTTTGTAATTAGGTAGCCATTTTAAACACTTAGCTAAGAGTTTACGCACAGCTTTAATACCTTTTATAGTTAATGAATCGAAATCATTTGAATCAATCAACAAAGCTTTATCAGCGTATAAAAAAGTATCTTTGTAATTATTCACACAATATATATGTAATTATTAACAGAATAATTTCATTAAACATCGAGTTAACGCATGTACTTATAATTTTATGACCTTTTAAATATAATGAATCAAATAATTTTGATCAATTAGTAATGCAGCATCCAAGACTTTCATTGGCTCTTCATGAATTAAATTTAATTATAATAATT